GAATCAGGCAGGACAGTAAAGAATATCTTTGAGAGTGTGGTGAGCTCCACATCACTGTGAGCCACATCCTAAGCTTTGAAGAGATACTCACGTAAAGGTATGAAATGAAAAGAAAGCAGAGTTCAAAAATAAAAGCCAGACATAAGAAAGCAGTGGTCTGCATAAGGAAAAGGTAGTAATAAGGCTTAAAGATTAGTCTTATTCATTGTAAACATATAGTAAAGGATAATTCTGTGAGAAGCACGTACCAGGGCTTTTCAAGCGTCTGTCATTCTCCTTTGCCCATTCACTTAGCAAATGTTTCAGTCTAGAGAAGGAACTACACAAAGGAGTAGACATGAAGGTGTTCCAAAAAGTCTTCGGAAGTAAAATTAAAAGGCTGAATTTATTTAGATGACCAAAGGATGTTAAAACTCATTCATGCTTTTCATACCACCCATCTAAAAATCTAAGTTTTGAGTGTTATTTGAATCTCTGATCATCCCTGATAATAAGGAGTCAGCAGATACCTCAGGTAATTGAGGAAATCAGCTCAGTAGGTTATCATGACCCAAAGCTGCAAGATACGCCAAGCCACTGAGGACAAGATTAACAGGTGACAGGACCCATCATCCATTTCTACTTTCAGCCCAGCTGTATCTACACTGGCACGAATCTGTCAGCACACTCCAGAAAAGGCAAAATGGATTAAGAAAACCTCGAAGGCATGCCACGCAAAATAAAGGAGAAATCAGACAGGCATCCACATGAGGCCAGACAAAACACTCTCCAACCTGGTAGGAAAAGGATTAAGCCATAATATAACTCACATTAACTAAATTGCATGAGGATTAAATCACTCACAGACTCTCTATCTAGATAGCTACCATTATTTATCTATTATTTGCAGCAGAAGTATGCCTTGGAACTTGCAAGAGATTATTTTAAATAACTGGAAGGAGTTAATTATCACTTTTCAAGGTGGTTAGTAACTTATTACTTCACTGGTCCAAAAGTTCGTGTATACTAATAGTGTAGCTAAATCCCAGAGACAGTATTATCAGGGTGGTATGGTTAGATTGTGTTATTGTAAAAAATCTTAAATTCATAGGAACTACAAATGCAACCTGGTATTACAAATGCTAAATATTGATTATTTATTTTAGAGGCGGAGAGAAAAATTCCGCTTCATTCCCCAAACAGAACAACAAGAGGAAATCAATTGTTTGAGCCATCACCACTTCCTCCTAGTGATTACCTAAGCGGGAAGCTGGAGTCAGAGCACCTGACACAGATGCATGGATCTTCACCAGCATCTTCATCACCATGCTACATGCCTACTCCTGGACATGTGGTTTTGATTCTTTTTGGAGAAAGAGATTGAGTTAGATAGGCCTCTGACTTGACACATTAAAATACTATGCTTATTTTTCATAAAAGGGTCTTCTCCTTTCTACTATGAATGCAATGGACCATTGAAGTTTTAGACAACCACTTGCATGTAGCTAAGCACCCTTGTCTTCTCAAGATATTGCAATAATTATTTACTAGCAAGAAAAGAATATCCCAAATATTACATTGATATATTGTAGCTATTTACACAGATGAATTAATTGCATTTCTTAAGCATTTACACATAAATCTTAAATAAACTTCCTGATGCTCACTTAAATCTTAGATAGGTAACTGGAATTAACCCCAATGCTTCTTTAAAAATAGAAAAGTCATTTTTTACCTTTCTCTTGGTAACGGTAGTATTAGCAAAGAAACAATCAAAAAGATACAGGCCATGGGTTTTCCTGATTCTAAGCTGTCATTATGTTCTTAGCCATCTCAATTTCTTTAACTTATGAAGTGGGAAAGAGTCAACCCTCACCATTACCATAGAATCTTTTTACACTGTTCCGTATGGAAAAACTATCATCTTAGCTCATAAGCACCGTAAGTACTTCCTGCATTTCAATATTCTCTCTTAGATCTCCCAATGTATTCTGCGGCTGCTACTATGGCTAAGTTAAGACAAAGCTACCACAGGAAGAAAGCTGCTGTAATTCCTCCAAGTTCCTTCACAGCCTGATTTCATCAAGTATTTCCACTCACGCATTAATGAACAGAACCTGCATAGAATAACACTGCTCCCTCTATGTTTTCTTCCTTTTGGTGATACTTGTTTGCTCTGTTCTTGCCTAAAATGCTCTTACAGAGATTCAAAAGGAAAACAAAACAAAACAAAAAACCAGCAAAGAAACAGAAACACAAGATAAACAAACAAACAAAAAAATAGTCTTGTGAGACTATTTTGAAGTAGAGGCACTCTGAGAGTTGGGGAACACTGCAATCGGAGATCGATTAGTTCCTCTTCTCATACCACAAGGAAGAAGACTGGAAGTCAGAGTGTTAAAGCATGTGAGATCCATGGACATTTTTGCTATAACATCACTTGCTTGGAGGCTTATTACATTCAACTGAAATTGTGTATTTTCAGGAATGATTCAAATGAAATACACATCTGAAATAAATCTGCTATAAATATAGGAAAATCAAAAACAAGTTAATGTTTCACAAAGTTTCTATTTTAAGACATCCTATCAGGTGACAGGTTTGTTTTTAGGATAAGGTAATGCATGAAGAAAACATATAGTTTTATTTTCTCATGTACCCGTCTCACAGGCATTATTCGTTATGGAAGCAATAGGCAAGAACAATATATTCTGAACACAGCAAGTATGAAAAATGAAATGGATGTAAAGAATACCAATGTTTATGCAAAGCACCTTGTATTCTTTCTAATACAACATCAAGTTGAACAGTTTTAAGAAATAGAGAAAACACCATCCCTACAAGATGGAGTTCAGTATACACATGTTAATTTTACCTTCAAGAAGACAATTTGCCTTCCTTATTACTTTGCATGGGTCTGTCAATTCTTTTTCCTAATCTATGATTTACACATGTAGTCTAATCATTTCTTTTGCAAAGGGGGATGAAGTCCAAGCAAGACAAAGAATTTGCTGATACACACATGTCACTTCCACAATTCTGTCAAACTCTCCACACCCTATTTAATTGCTTCCCTACTGGAAAAATACTTTCCATCTGCATTCATTCTGATCAATCCAAATCCAAAACCAACACTCCATAAAGTTAGCTAAATAAATGAATGATGCTTGCTTCAGGTTCCAAGTGAGGCAACATTTTATAATCATGTCTTCAGTTCATATTTTATGCTAACACAGCATTTCATTTTGAGCTCTGGTATTCAGATTTGTTTAGAAAAAAATTTACCTAGCCGCAGGCTTAAAACCTCAATCTCTTCCTCCCCCTCTATCTTTCTTTTCCTTTCCACACACACACACACACACACACACAAACACACTGACAGATAGCAAGGTGGAGGTAGGAACATAAATGCTTATGATTCTTTAAAATTAACCATTTATTTATGCTTACTTTGAAAAACATAGAGACAGAGACAGATACATAAATGAATTTCATTTGCTGGTTGATTTTCCCAAAGCCTGCTAGGTTAGGCCAAAATCAGGAGCCCAGAGTTCAATACAGGTTTCCCGTAAGAGCATTGGGAACCCAGGACCAGAACCAACATGTGCTGCGTCCCTTCGTACACCCTGTCAGACAGTTGCATCAAGAGCAGAGGAACCACGTCTTGAACTTGGCACTACATATGGGATGCAGGCAACTCAAATGGTATCTTACCCACTGCATCAAGCACCTGGCCTGTGGCTCCGAGAGAAAACCAAATGAAGCCAGATACGAATGTGCACAATCATTGCTACTAAGTATCTATAACAAAGGTAAACTGGGTTGTTGTTGTTGTTGTTTTCATAGGTTATAAATAACAAACCAGTGCTTGCATATGCTGTATAACATATTCTTAAAAGGAAAGACTACAGCTGAATCATTATCTATATGCATGATATTGGCATTTTGAAAATTGATTGTTATTTATGCATTTTTCTATACTCTAAAGTGTTTTTTTTCTCTCAACTTGCCACCGATTGAGTTCAATACCTAATGGAATAGTAACCATGTGTTTGTGAAGGGAATTGGAAATACATCATTATAAAATTAATAATAATAATAATAATAATAATAATACAAAAAAGGGTGGGTAAGGACTTGAGTGGTAGGTATGGTAAGGTGAAATGTATCATATATGTTTTTAAATCTGTACTGTGAAGTACATAAAAGTTGTTCATAATTTTTTTTTTCAAAAATCAATGATTGGGATAGCATACCACAGAAAGGAAACACAGGAAGATCTACTGAAACTCTAAGTGAAAAGTTACTGTAAACTTGCTCTCCCAAAGGAAAACGTTGTAGCAAAGAATTAAGTTCCTTATTATTTTATTGTTTCAAGAAACACTACAAGCATTACATTCCAGAATCAACGGGGCAAAATAAGGACTCACCTCACAATTACATACAAATTTACTAATGTAATAGATTAAGCCACATTATTAAAGACATACCAAGGAAGTATGCTTACTGTTGACAAAGCATCTACAGCACTTCTGAGCTTCTAAACTGAGGTCTGGATTTTTCAATAAAAGTATTGCAAATATACAGTCCCCAAAATATCTATCAAATACCTGGTCCAATCACATAAATCTAAACAGTGTGAAATTTATTAAGTGGGCAGATCACAATAATTAATTATTTCCACCAACCCCAAAGAACCAACAAGAAAATGCCAGAAACATGCTGAGTTTTCTCATTTGATAGCACTCTGAAAAATCCAGTGATGTTTCACCAGAAAGTAAAAGAAATACATTTTTCTTTCGATAACACAAATTTAGCACTAGAATGTAAACCAGGATGAAAAATCACAATTGACCCTAACTAATGAATAACAAGAGCATCTTTTCAACTATTTCTACAGATGTTTATGTTGCTGTTAAATGTTTCAAGTTTCTTTTGTATTTGTTATACATATGGCATCTTACCAGTTCTCCAAAATTATAATTTTTCTGAGTGGACTGACAGTATTCATCTTACTGTACCTGGAATTCTGAGGTTCTGAAACATCAGATTCTGTGCACGTTTTCTTCACCTGCAAGAAAAGAGTACTAGTTATTCTCACATGAAAACACCATTTCCTCATGCAAGGTCAGGTACTTGATGTTGGAAGTGGATATAGCTCTGCTCATCATGATCTGTATAAAATAGTGCCCATATTTTACAGAATCAGCACATAGTACTAAACAGCACATTTCATTATTACCCCATGAACATCTGCTGAATACACTTCCCTGCACTCCATAAGGTTGTAAAATGTTCTGCTAAAACAGCCACGCTAGCCTTAGTGGGAACAAAGAAACTGCAGAACTGTGTTTTCCACTGAGGAGCTAGAAAGTTGTGCTGTTCTCAGTCCACCAACAAGTGTTTTTCCAATTGATACTGCTCTGTCTCCTATACATCACCTAAGAATCACAAACACCAGGTTCTGGGGCACAGTGCAGTGTTAGCTGAAGCACCCATGCATTCATTTCCATCTTCTCGATCCAGTCACTGTTCTACATATGTCTCAGCATATCAATTAAGCTTAAGCGTTGTTCATGGACATCGCTCACATATTTGCAGAATGCTTCACAGATTGTATTTCAACTTTGTGGTTTTTAACTCACAAAAGGTTAAGGAAGGAGAACAACTTTTCCTCCTAGGACACACTAGCCATTTCTGGACAGAAGCGGGAGGTACCTCCTCCAAGACAAGGGAAAGCACAAATTCACCCCCTTTCACAATTTGACTTGAAGCATAGATATCAATGTCTGTTTAACACGGCCTTGAAAATGCATATATGCAGAGTAGACCAGCCTCAAAAGTCTCAAGCCCAATTCTTAGATATTTAAGCTGTCCACATTTCAAGTATCTATCTTCCAATCTACAGAATTCAAGATTTTAACATCTAATCTGTGGCCTAGAGAAAAATAAATGGGGACCACTGAATATATGTCATGAAAATGTGATATGAATGTTATAAGTTGAAACAGATTTTGAAATTGAAAAGGAGGTCTTTCCAACCCCATAAGTAGGTTTTACTCCTTTGACTCACAAGAATGCTTAAAAGATCACAAAAATTCCCACACTATCAAAAGCCTTTATATTTTGTCTTCAATTCCAAGCCTGGATTTTTATAATCTGGGAATCAGTTATTTCCTTGATTAGTTGTATCCTTCTCACAACCTATATGTACATTACAGAGTATGAAAATAAAACTGAACAGAGTGCTACCTGACTCTATGATATTCTGTTTTCTATGCCTTTAACATAGCATCATGAGATGGAGAAATGAAGAAGTACTTATAAGACTAGTTAGTGCTCTTTCCGTTTGCAGCTCAGCCATGGCTCATGGGCCCAAGAAGCACCTTAAGCGTGTAGCAGCTACAAAGCACTGGATGCTGGATAAATTGACCAGAGTTTTTGCTCCTCACCCATCCACCAGTCCCCACAAGTTGACAAAATGTCTCCCTCTCATCATTTTCCTAAGGAACAGGCTTAAGTATGCACTGACAGGGATGAAGTTTAGAAAATTTGCATACACCAGTTTATTAACAGTGATGGGAAAGTCCGAACTGATATAACTTTTCCTGCTGGTTTCCTGGATGTCATCAGCACTGACAAGACGGGAGAGAATTTCTGTCTGATCTATGATACCAAGGGTCGCTTTGCTGTGCATCGCATTACTTCTGAGGAAGCCAAGTACAAATTGTGCAAAGTGAGAAAGATCTTCGTGAGCACAAAAGGCATATCATCTGGTGACTCATGATGCTCGTACGACTCACTATCCTGATCCCCTAATCAAGGTGAATGATACCATTCAAATTGATCTGGAAACTGGCAAGATTATCGATTTCATCAAGTTTGACACTGGTAATCTGTGCATGGTGACTGGGGGTGCCAACATTGGGAGAATTGGTGTGATCACCAACAGAGAGAGAGAGAGAGACATCCTGGCTCTTTTGATGTGGTGCATGTCAAAGATGCCAATGACAACAGCTTTGCCACTTGGCTCTCCAACATGTTTGTTATTGGAAAAGGCAATAAACCATGGATTTCTCTTCCCTGAGGGAAGGGAATCTGCCTCACCATTGCTGAAAAGAGAGACAAGACACTGGCTGCCAAGCAGAGCAGTGGATGAAAAAATCTCTAGATGACATGTTTTTTTTTTAAGCCTCTTTACTGGGCTTAATTACACGCATGGTGTGATGAATTGGCAAAAAACAACAAACAAAAAAAAAAAAACCAGACTAGTTAGGGAAAAACAAGAAAAGGAAAATATAAAGAGAAAATATTTTTCTTAACATAAAAACACAGAATTCTTTTTTCTGCTAAAAATGTATCCAAGAAACAGGACCAAAATGAAAAGGACACCAGGAAACAAAAAAGAGTTCTTCCTTTCCACTGGTTGTTTCCAATGGCTCATTACTCACCACAGAAAGGTATCTCAAACTACGTATAGAAAAATGGAGTTAAAGGCTAAGTTATTTTGGTGCAGAAAGCTTTTTAACCAATGTACTTTAAAAAATTATTTTGGATGATGTTTACATAGTTGATGAGGGTGGGAAGGATCCAAGATCAGGGGAAAGTGAATGAGACCACTGTTTCTTGTTCTTCTTGTATCTGGGGACGAGGGGAATACAGGGGAGAAACCACACTCAGCCTCCCGGTCAGGGATGGGGGACAGCCAACCACTTGACGTCATCCCAGGGTGCCCTTGGTAGAGCATTTTCTAAAGGTTCTGTTCAATTGGTCTCAAAAGTTCTGAGATGCTCTTAATATCTCCGCTCCAAGGATAAGGAAATCCTTCCAAGGTCAATTGGCTGACACAGTCCACCTCCAAGTCTCCATTCACCCAGAAATTTGCTGTCAAACTTCACTAGGGGAGTTGATCAATTTTTTCTGCCCTACTTTTTCTGTAAACCAATGGGTGCTGAGGCCCAGCCCAGGCTACCACATACTTGTCCATCACGTACACCAGGGAGAGCTGCAGCCCAGTCTGTCTAATAGCCCCCACTGTACTGGCCCCAAGCCATGGTTCCTGTGCTTGCCCGCATGTGCCCTGGACTGGTCCAGTCTGCCTCACATGCCACTTAGATCTCATATATGTCATTGGACATTGAAACTTAACCCAACTGCTCCACCCTTCAATTTACACTCATGCCAGTGGGTACCACTGCCTGTCTAGCCAGCCCTGCCCCAATCCTGGTTTTCATGATCACCAGAGGGAGTTGGAGCCCTTCGGAGTGGTGGTACCCACAGCTTCCCCATAGAACTGACTCCATGCCCATCTTGCACTCTAGGTGGTTCCACAGTTTAGCTTGACAAAACTTGCCCCATCAATGTACTTTGTTATGGTCTGTGTTTTTCCTAGCACTTTATGAAATCTCCATGTATGCATATTTTCATAAAAATATTACAACAAATGAATATATCTTTTAACTTCATTTTCCATGGTTTGACAATAATTTGACAGAAAGCACTCCAAAATGAATGTCTTTCATCCAACCACAATGATGAACTGACCTTGGGACTGACTGCAGAATCTCCAGAGCAGAATAGACTTCTACTTCCAACTACAGCCAATGTTTAACACCAATGGGTTCTGTCTTTAATATTCATAACTTACTAATGTATTGATCCCCAAGCAACTTACTAGCAGGTCTCGTTATATTAACTTAGTCTCCAAGCAGTAACTGTAATAGCACAAAACATAACTATTGGTCTTGGTATCTGGCACCTATAGAGTCTTAGTATGTATTTGATGTTTAACAAGCCAATGAGGACTGCATTGGAAAATGACCCAAATGGATACTCCTCCCCTCACAAGTGCCAGGCTCCCATTAGCACTCAGGTTCATGTCCTGGCTGCTACTCCTTCCATCTAGCTTCCTGCTTCTGTCCTGGAAAGCAGTGAAGGATGGTCAAAGTCTTGGGACCTTACATCCTTGGGGGAGAACCAGAAAAATCTTCTGGCTGCTGGCTTCAGATCAGCTCAGCTTTGGCCACTGTAGCTACTTGGGAAGTGAACTAGCTGATGGAAGATCTTTCACTCTGTCTCTCTGTCTGCAAATCTGTCTTTCCAATAATAAATAAATAAATCTTTTTTAAAAATATTAGTGTTTCTCTGTCATGAAGTTTGTCAGAGAAATAATATTAGTAATTATGTATATATGTGAAAAACTTAGAATTTAATCTTTAAGCAAGGAAGCAGTGAAGGGTTTTAAGAAGCCAACGAAGTAGAGATGGCAGAGAAGACCGTGTGGATGCAACCACAAGGAAGCAGTGAAGGGTTTTAAGAAGCCAACGAAGTAGAGATGGCAGAGAAGACCGTGTGGATGCAACCAAAAGGAGCACAAATTCCATGACAGCAAACGTTGTTGATCATCACATCCCCAGGCTCATGCAGATGTTCCCCAAATACTAGCTGCTACGTGAATAAATCAGTCTATCACTGACGGAGACATGGATTAAGACAGGAGGAATGGGGAGAAGTGAAAGGATGATTTTGAATAAATATTTTTGAAACAGAAGTGATGGAATAGCCTAGCTAACCAAATTATTCAATTGACCAAGATGTGACCTTTCTATTTGTCCTTGAAAAGAAATTTTAAATAGATCCAAGGGAAAAAAAAAACGTATTTCATGACTTTTCCAAATTTCTCCAGAACTCAATCTTTTTTGCTGAAATAATGAAGACATTTTAAATGAATCATTAAGCAATTGACAGAAATTTATAAAAATGTTAGAGGTCATTGAAGTTCCATTGGAGACCAATGGAACATTTTACCTATTTTTACCTAATTTGAACATATTGTCAATTGTTAAATCAATGAACCATCAACTCCTTCTGAACATATTTTGAATGAAACGGAAACAAACAGAACAAGAAACGAGGTAGGGTTGTGTGACCATTATATACATCAAAATCTTATCTTAAAAAAAAATGGGTTTTAGTGTAGAGCCGGAGAGAGAGGCATAGTCAGAAAAAGGGCTCACAATAGAATATCATTTAGATAATTACAGTAGGTAAATTTTTTTAGATCCTCCTGAG